TTAGCCAATAACAAATTTGGATGTGCAAATGAGTTGAGGACCCATGAGGTGAAAATTGGTAATGAAGCCTGGCCAACGTGTGAGTGCACATGCAACAAACCGAAATTGCTTCACCTACCTTGCTCACATGTACTTGCTGCTTGCAGGCAGCTTGGAATGGACGCAATATCGTTTGTGTCTCCATATTTTCTGAAAGAGTATGTCCTCAATACCTGGACTGGTGAGCTGATGGGTTTTCGATCAATGGGTAATTTCAACACCGTCAACCCCGCTGAAAGGCGTTACATTCCAAACCCAGAGCATATGCGTACAAGTAGAGGTAGACGGCAGTGTCAGCGCATCCGGAATGATATGGATGAATCTGAAGCAAGAGGTCCGACTAGGCAATGCATTCTATGCAATAAATTTGGCCATAGGGACACTAATTGTCCCACTTTCGTCACTGGGCGTGGACGAGGCAACCGGGGACGAAGAGGAGGTAGAGGAAACAGAGGAGTAAGAGGGAGAGGAAGAACCTAAGCTAGCAGTACTATGTTCTGAATTTGTATTAAGTGTGGCACTATGTTCTAAATTTGTATTAAGTGTGACACTATGTTCTGAATTTGTATTAAGTGTGGCACTATATTCTTAATTTGTATTAAGTGTGAAACTATGTTCTGAATTTGTATTAAGTGTGACACTATGTTCTGAATTTGTATTAAGTGTGACACTATGTTCTGAATTTTTTATGTGCAGGAATGTCGGGACTGTGGTTGCTGAATGGGGACATTGATAGGGTTCATCGTGCTGCGATATGGTATGAGCGCAAGCTTGAGCCTCTGATCACTCGCCCTCCTAAGGAAAATTGGAGGATACACCCAGGATGGCTACAACGGTACGTGCTTTATTAATTTGCACATTGACATGCATATTAATGGGAGACAGTAACTAAAATGTTCTCTGATGAAGGTTGAAATGGGCCGGCCTTTTACCTTTCGCGCGTCTGGTTGAGTCTATCCCGGGTGAGAAACGCCTTGCCATCGACGAGTCCTTGCTGAGCTGCTTAGTGGACCGTTGGAGGCCAGAGACCCACACGTTTCACTTCTGAAGGAGAGAGATGGCTCCTACTCTTGAGGATGTGTCACTTTTGCTCGGACTACCATTGGCAGGTCATGCCATAGGACGGTTGGACGAACCGGTTGGTTGGGAGCAAGCTCTTACACAACGTTTTCATGGTGTTTTTCCGGATGCTCCGGATCCGGTATGGGAGCATCACGGACCTAAGTATGAGTGGTTGCTCAATTTCCGGGTAATTTGCCATACCTATTATCTTCAAGTTATCGTGCATACGGTTTTATAAAAAATAGCTACGGCTTACTAAAACTTTCTCTTTGCTTAATGCAGATCCAGAACTTCCAGGCGCCGTTGACTGCAGAACAGATCACTCGGAGCCTGGAGGCCTACTTAATGTGGCTTTTCGGGAAGGTGATGTTCACAGAGAACCATGTCACCACTATTAGCGCACTCTACATCCCTATGGCACTCGAGATAGCGAGCGCTCAGACGGCGGATCAGATCAGACAGAGGAGTTGGGGTTCGGCAGTCTTGGCGGCTACATACCGAGGTATGTGCAACGCTTGCCAGCTTACATCGAAAAAGCCAGCCCTTCTTGGATGCCCTCTATTCCTACAGTTGTGGTCGTGGGAGAGGTTCTCTATAGGGCGACCAGATGTACGTGTTCATGAGCCTATAGACGCCATGTTTGATGTTGACGGCATCGACATGCCTACTTTCGGTCTGTGTTGGACACGTCGCAAGGTATGCACCGTGTTGTAGTTTAATGCAACTTTTTCCTGCACAAGAGATAGTTCGATGCTAGCTTATACTAACTTTTGTTTTCTGCAGAGACGCTTTGCTCGTGATCAGACCAATAAAGCATACATAGCATTGAACGAGCAGTTCGATGTGTATACCGGGGTCATCTGGCAGCCCTATACGGAAGCAGCCATACAAGCGAGATACCCTGGTGGTATGTCCGTGCTATGCACAAGGGACCAAGATTACTGGATGACAAAATCAAAGATCATCTTTGATGTCTTCGTTGAGGAGATGGCACAACAGAGGGTTATGAGGCAATTTGGTCTTCTGCAGTTGGAGCTGCCTCCCCCTATAAAGAACCCGGTGCCAGACCACATCCACAGGTATTAACCAGTTTTTCAATGTTGCATTATCTTTCATAGTACTCCATTCGAAGCTTTAGGTAATTGTTGAACACACACCACAATTTTAGGACAACAAGGAAGGGCGTGAGTAGGACAACTTCTGAGTGGCTAGTAAGACTAGAGCCGTATGTTATAGAATGGGAGACAGGAAACACAAATCTATGGCACGAGAATCATAATTTTGAACTCAATGAATTCAATCTCTATTTGCGGCTCTACATGAGCGGAACACGGTTACGCATCGTTGAGCACTCTCACCCAGAGGAGATACCTGATCCTACTCCGTCGGATACGTACCCGAGCTATGATACTTCAGGCTCTAGGCAGTACGCGGTAAGATATATTTTCTTTAAGTAATGTTGTCACATACATTGGCGTGCATACTTAATAATCGTCCTTTAAATTTGCAGGCTACCTTGACACACGAACTCTACACCGACATGACCACCTTTGGACGATCACTGTCGTCAGGACCTCTTCTTCATCACCGTCCTGTCATACAACCCTTCTTGGAACGGATGCAGAACAAAATACGGGCTGTCTACGAGGCTATCACGTGCACCCGGAGAAGCGACGTTGTTCAGCACCAACCACAGTAGCCGCGTCCCTCCATGTACCGACATCAACCACGTCCACGTCTAGCACATCAGCCGATGACCAGGCCACCCCCTCCTGAACAACCTGGCAGTTCATCGTGGCAGCACCCACAGCACTATGGTCCCACGTCGAGCTTCGTGTTTTCTCCACAGCCACAGCACCACGGTCCCTCGTCAAGCTTTGTGTTTGAGCCAGAGCAGCCGTCACAGCCAGCAGGTGTGTGTCTTCATATTTATAGTTTTCAATATTAGTTCAGGCGACATCAGACTTCATGACTTAAAGTTCCGTCGTGCAGGAGCCTATGGATATCATGCGTCTATGTTGGCATCACATGATACGTGGGGGAGTGATCATCATCCCGAGGATCACATACAGGCTCTGATGTCGCAGCACACCCACTGGATGAACATGTTTTCGACTCCTCCACCAGGCCCCACACAGGATACACAGCATGACCAGGAAGAGTCTAAGATTGCTCCGCGTCCCATTAGGGCACCTGAAAGATGGGGATGGACGCCGATTCCAGATCCGCCACCCCGCCAGGCCAGACGTCGTCACTGACGCTTCTATCTATCAGTACAGACATTACCATCTATTTATGTGTGAGACTTATGTCTATTCTATGTATGAGACAAATGACTATGTACTTATGTATGAGACATATGCCTACTCTATTTTAGTACTATGTTATCCGAACTACAACATCATATTTAGATAGAACAGAATGCTCGTACAACAAGACAGTACAAACAACTACATAGAACTACATCTAAATTAAACGGTACGTACGAGTGAACTTACAACATACAACATAAAACTACATGAAGTCATCATCGTCATCCTCCATCGATGCAGAACTCTTGCCCTTCGACGATGAAAAACTCTTGCCCTTCGACGATGAAGAACTCTTGCCCTTCGACGATGAAGAAACCTTGCCCTTCGACGATGAAGAACTCTTGCCCTTCGAAGATGCAGAACCCGGAAGCGGCGGCATGAAGATATCATCTTCGTCCTCGCTCTCCTCAATCCATAAAGATGGATTATTTGCTGAAATCCTTCTGAATGTTTCACTCTTCGGCACCACCACCTTCTTCCACCTTTCATGCAACCTAAGAAGTTCTTTACGTACCTCCACATAGGTCCTTTCAGGCCACCCAGACCTACGTAATTGGTGAGCCAACTCATTCATTATGGTGTCACTACCGGTGAGTTCGTCCCATGGAACTATCCTATTGTCCATCCTGAAATCGGTAACTAGGCTCAGAAGAGTCCTGCTCATCCCAGGGTGAAAACTACGATCGAAAGGATAATGGGACATCTCAACTACACTACACTGGAATGCTTATCCAACTCCGTCTGAAGGGGGTTTTATAGGTGGCGGGAAAGAGTTGGCGGGAACATATGGCGGGACAAAGTTGGCGGGAACATATGGCGGGAAACATATGGCGGGAAACGGGTGGCGGGAAAGAGTTGGCGGAACATATGGCGGGAAACGGGTGACGAAAACATTTTTTTTTGAGAAAAGGGTGGCGGAAACAAATGGCAATATGGGTGCATGCACCAGTCGGCCCACAGTAGTTCCAGTCGGCCCACAGTAGACCAATTAGTCCCAGTCGGCCCACAGCAGGCTGACTGGAACCTGTCGGCCTACAGTTGGCCGACTGGACTTGAGCTGGCGGCCGACAGGCCACTCAGCCAGCAGCAAGCTGATAGGACGCCAGTCGGCCTGCTGTGGGCCGACTAGTTCCAGTCGGCCTACTGTGGGCCGACGGTGTATTATTTTTGAAAATAATTTTTTGGGCATAATATTTATGAAAATTAATTAAAAAAATTATTATTTAAAAAAAAATTAGCGCATTTTAGCGCGGCTGTTGAAGCCAATGCTGCATGCCGCGTAAAACCAGGCAAAGCGCGCGGCAAAGTCGTTTTTAGCACGCGGCGCGTTGCGCACTTGTTTTGACGTGACCAGAAAAGTACAAGCGACTGCTTGAAAGAAATTGACTCTGAAGGCATGAACATCATCCGAATATGTAGCGTATTTTGGTATCTGCAAAAGTTCAAATAAAACAAGATCGCAAATTTGCAATACCTGCATATATTCCTGAAAGGTACAGCGACGCAATGCGTAGTAACACCTACACCCACATTTAGTATATCTCTTTTTTTTGCCGATTATTGCTTCTAGTACAGTACCATTAAAGTTTACAGCTTCTGAAGAAGAGTATCCATGCCGGCTCGCGGTGTGCAGAGAGCTTCCAGAGGGACGGCCTTGAACATGACGGTCCCGGAATTCGCGGCCATGTCGACCTCTTCGTCCCCGACCCTTGTCCAATCGAAGCACTGGACCAGCGTGCCTAGAACCAAGCCCATGGTCCTCATGGCGAGGCTCTCCCCGGGGCACTTGCGCCTGCCCATCCCGGACGGTATCATGAACTTTCCCTCGGCGCTGCCATGCTCCAATCTCTCCGGCCTGAACTCCTCCGGCGCCGGTCCCCACGCCGCCGGGTCGCGGTGGATGGCGTACGCGTTGACGAGCACGATCGTGCCCGCGGCGACGTCGTACCCGTGGAGCTTGCAGTCGGCGGCGGCCTCGTGCGGCAGCAGCAGCGGCGCGGCGGGGCACAGCCGCAGCGTCTCGCTGATGATGCAGTGGAGGTAAGGAAGGTGGGGCAGGTCCTTCTTGTCGAGGAGGCGGCTCGGCTCGCTGCTGAGGCCGAGGTGCCTTTCGATCTCTTCCTGTGCCTTCTTTAGCACCGCCGGGTGGTTCAGCAGGAGCGCCATCGCCCATTCCGTCGTCGTCGACGTCGTCTCTGTCCCGGCGCCAAGAAGATTCCTCCACCCAATTCCAAACATGAAAAGAGCTTGAATGGATGCTGCGAAAGAGACTCACGGCGACGAGGGCGGCGATGAAAGTGTCCGTGTACAGGTCCGGCTCTGACTTCTGCAGCGACAGTATGACGCCGATCATGCTCTGTCGTCACCGATGAGGTTGGCGACACCGACGAGCGGCACGATGGCGTCCGCGATGTCCTTCATCTCCCGCGGCTCCCGGGACATGTCCGCTCCGTCGTCCGAGTAGGTGTTCCTGCTCCGCACGATGGCCTCCATGAGCACGCTGTGGGAGAGGTCGAACAGCCGCCGCTTCAGCTCCACCCTAGCCGCGCCACCGGCGGCAACGCGCGCGAGGCGGCGCACCAGGGCGCGCAGCTCCCGGGCGACGACGGCGTCGGACATGAGGTCGACGCGGCGCGCGCAGAGGAGGTGCACGACGGCGACGCGGCGCGCGGCGCGCAAGTGAGCGCCGTAGCTGGCGAGGGTGAGCGCCCTGTAGTCGAAGGAGACCTCCCGCAAGGACGGGAAGCGCGGCCGGTTGGCGAGTGTGGCGTCGAGCTCGGAGGAGAAGCACTCCCTGGCGACCTCCGCCGAGGCGACGACGACGGCGGGACGCGAGCCGAGGCGGAGGGAGAAGACCGGGCCATGGCGCGCGGCGAGGCGCGCGAGCGTGGCGTGGAGCGGCTGCTTGAGGAAGGGATGGTGGCCAAGGAACGGGAGCGCCAGCGCCGGGCCAGGCCGCAGTCGTCGCCGCGGCCGCTTTTTGGTGAGGAGGGAGTGGAGCAAAAAGACGATGAGAAAGGTGATGGCGGCGACGTAGAAGAAGTGGAAGCTACCCAACTCCATTGTTGTTTCTTCTTCGGCTAAGCTAATCAGATGTCATAGCTCAGCTGCGTTTGTGGAACGGTGTTATTTTCAAAATTTGTGCAGAGTGAGAAGAGTAAAGATTAGATCAGCCATCACCACCGTCGATTATAGGATATAAGAAGAAAATCTCAGTCGTTAAACATTAGATGAATTATTTCTGCAAATCTAAATATGTTACCAAAGTATGTTCCGTGTGTTTCAATATCACAGACAAAGTTCTCAGATGACAAAAGGAGTAATTCCGTTAGATTCAGGTGGCTTCTAGCTGATCTGACTGGTCTCTGCCACGGTTCACGAACAACCTAGAAATACGATTGATTTTGGCTACATTGTGGGCCCCAATCGCGAGAGATTCAAGTCATAACGTCTAATCATTCAGAAAAATCTCTCTTCCTCCTTTTCAGGTTAAAGCACCCTTCTTTGCGGTTGTGGCTTTGCGAACAATGAGCCAGTGAAAGAATAATGTAAAACACAGGATAATCCAGCATCTTGCATTTCATCCCTTATTGAGCTCACATGGTGAGTTTCACCATCCCCTAGGGGTCGTTCTGGGGGCATTTTATTTAGCGTAAACACAGGGACTATGGATCTTTTGGCTAGTTTGGATGGTAAGTTTCACATTACACTCCATATTTGTAACAAGACCGACAACTTCACGTGGACTCTCCTCGCCGTGTATGGGGTAGCCCAGGATGAGTTCAAGGTCGACTTTCTCCGTGAATTGGTTAATTTAGCCGAAAGATAATCCATGCCTCATTCTTATCGGTGGTGATTTCATTTTGCTACAATTTCCAAATGAGAAAAACCGTGGTAGGTTTTATGATCATCGGCCTTCCCTTTTCAACGTTGTCATCAACAGTCTAGATCTGCGAGAGCATTTCATCGATAGAATTTTTTTCATTGAGTCTAGGCTAATTTTTATTATTCTATGGAATGTGAAGGATAAAATGAATTCCTCCATATAAATAGGACTCCATTCCTACAAACTAAAGGGCCATAAAGAATTTTTTCTATGAAAAAATAGTTCTACGCAATTCCTACAAAATTTGAGGCCATAGAGGGTTCTGCCGGGACGAGAGACGAAAAAACCAAAGTGGAAATCTGAAACAGGGTTTGATTGGGAAAAAAATCGATTGGGGTGGAGCGAGCGAAAGAAACGAAACGAAACAGGGATGGACTCTCCTTTAACAGTACAGATACAGATACTATCATATAGATAATCTATCTACCTGTGTTTTTCATGTACGTATAAATAGCATTGTCCAATCTGCATGCAGGAACCATCTGATTATTGATCTATGATGCCGTTTGTGGCCGTTGTTGTTTCGCTGCTTCCTCCCCACTTCTTTATCCTCTCCTCGGCCAACATAGCCTGCACCGTAAAAAGTCCAGACATTTCTTAAAATAAAGATATGCTCAACTACGATCGAGTCATCATCTATAGACAGAAAAAATACTGAGATCGAGTGATATTAGTATAGTACTGCACACCTGATTCTCCCACTTGGCTCGGAAGCAAATTATGATAAGTATAGCAGTCTGCAGCAGCGTGCCAATTGACATGCCCACCCAAATCCCCTGCAGTGCAGAGATACATCGTTGTATATTCAGAGCAGGTTAGAATCAGATTGGCCGTTCTAATAATTTATTAGGTATCCATAAATATTTGAAGTTGATTTGGATTTGCTCTTACCAATGCACCAAGTTTTAGCTTGAAGCCAAAGAGGACTCCCAGCGGGATGCCAAACAAGTAGTAGCACACAATGTTTACGAATGCAACAAGCGTCTGCCACCCTGCTCCTATCGCCACACCTGCAAAACAAGATGTTCCAATTGTCATTGGGATCACTGGTTTATTTGGTAACAGGTTGGCTCAGTGGTATGTGCCTGAGAGCACAGGCTGGATGCTGTTGAGGAAGATGGATGCTGCAAGAAGGTAGCCAAGCTTTGCAGCTCCCCCCACCACTCTGTCGTTGTCGCTGAAGAACCGTGGCAGCTCGGTCCTCCAGATGAGGAACACAGCCAGGAAGACCGTCCCGATGGCGGCGGACGTCAACACTGCTATAATCATCGAGAACTTGGCCGCCTTAGGCCTGTTCGCGCCCAGCTCGTTCGACACCCTAACGCTTCATCTCGACCACTTTCACATTAGCAAAAATACGGATGAATTTTATACGTCTATTTCTATACAGTTGCAGTCTTGTGTGGAGTACTATTTGTGTTGTTGCGTGCATTATCTATATACCTCACTGCTGCATTAAAGCCTATTGCCACCATTCAGGGTGGACGGGACGAGCGGGCTTCTGGCCCGGACCGCGGCCCGTTATGGACCGGACCGTACGGGCCTGGCTCGCTAGATAATATGGCCGGTCCGGTCCGTGAAAACGAGACCGAAATTCGGTCGGTCCGGTCCGGTTAAAGCTCGGTCCGGCTCGGAGGACCGAAGGCCCAGCCCAATAAAGCTAATCAGAAGAGCCCAGCCCAATAAAGCTAATAAGAGGGGCGTGCGTGACCTAGCGAACTGCCACTGCATCCTCTTCCTCGCACGCGCCGCCCCTCTTCCTCCCCTGCGCCGCCCCTCTTCCTCCCCCTGCGCCGCCATCTTCCTCGACTTCCTCTCCCCGGCACAACCTCGCGCCGCTGCGCCTCTACCTCTCGCCGTCGTCCCCTCGCGCCACCACGCCTCTGCCTCGCGCCATGCTGCTCCCTCTCTCTCCCGTGCCTTTCTCTCGCGCCGGCGTGCATCAGGTGCTTCTTCTCCGGCTCCGGCCACCGTGCTGCTACTCCGACCACCACTCCGATGTCCTGGGCCCACATGGCAGTGACTGGACGTCGTCAGGACCGCCAGGACCGCCGGTCCGCACCGAGCTTCATGCCAGCCGGTCCGGTCCCTGTAATCAGGACCGCTGCACAGCTCGGTCCGGTCCGGCCCGGACCGCCGGCGTCCGGTCCAAACGGCGGCTCGGACCGGGACCGGACCGGCCCGGACCGTGTCCACCCTGAGCCACCATAAGGGTCCAGAGCTGGTAATTGATGCTGTAAAAAAATTTAGACACGTTGATGTAAAAAAAAAAGAGTCAGACATGGAATACCGTTTAATCTTCGTCAGACAAACTCTATTGTCTGTGCGTGCATAGTTAGGTTGCAGGTTTGTCAGATAAAAACTGCTTACCAAACTGAGATGACGTCAACCTGGAGTTGAGCATTCTTCAGGAGACCGACAAGAATGAGCACTGCACTGTAGTACCACAGCTCCAAGCTAGATAAGAACACATCGTGCATATATACAATTTAAATTAATCTGCTTGCTGATTGAATTGTAATTGTATAGCAAGGTAAGAATTGAAAGATCTACCAACCAGAGCATGACAGCGGAGGCGAGGGACAACTTGACGAAGGCGGCGAGGTTATTGAAGGCGAGCATGGAGAACCCCTTCCACACCTCCGGGAAGCAGCCGGAGACGAGGTAGGCGAACTGCGCAACGATGATGATCCACCAGGTGACATTTCCGATCATGGCGGCGCCGAAGAGGCCGTGGCCAAGGCGCGTGACGAAGACGTAGTTGAGCACGATGTGGAAGGCGAGCCCCACGCCGGAGATGAAGGTCATGGCCCAGACCTTGCTTTGCGCCTGGAAGAACTTCTGCAGTGGGAAATTGGCGGCGTAGGCGAACAACTGCGGGACGACCAATCGTGTATACCGCCCGGCAACGACGGAGATGGCGGTGGGCTGGTGGAGCGCCCGCAGGATGGGCACTGTGAAGACATAGGTCGGCGCGAGTGCCAGCGCGGTGGCGCCGCAAATGATCCAGGAGCGCTGAATGTAGACACCGAGCATGTCCACCTGCCCTGCGCCCACCGCCTGCCCGCATAGCGTCTCCAGCGCGCTACCCATGCCAACCTGCAAATGCAACCCCTAGCATCATCAGCTAGCGCATGGTTTGTAGTTGAAACATATGCATGCGCGGGAAAGAGTGAAATTCAAACGTGTCCATGACTCGTGGTGGGCTTTAGCCAGAAGCCCAGAACACACTGACATATCGTCACACCATACAGTGCACATAGAGGCTGATTGGTTTGCTACCAACATTTGGCATTGCCAATATTTGACAAGCCAACATTCGGCAAAACCAAAAGTTGCCAACATTCTGGCAACAGAAATTGGTATGCAACCAATCTGTAGCTAACATTTGGCAGTTGCCAAAATTTGGCATGCCAACTTTTGGCAACAAACCAATTAGGCTCATACTCTATATGGAAGGCAATATCGTCACATCACAAGTTTTCGTGACAAAAATCCACTCTAGTCACTCCTCTTTTACTGTTGGAGGCGTGCAGTAAAGATTAATGTATTTCATTTCCACTTTATCTCTGTCGATGGTCAATGTGCTAAACATCTCTTGATTCTCCCTTTCTCCCTCTCAGCCACACCAACGGTCCACCATCATCGACATCTTCATCTTCGGTGGCTACCGCCATTGGATCAGCCTCCAATTGAGCATCTTCTCAATTAACTACTCATTTACACGTCTTTTCATGATGTTGTTGCCACCCCACAGGGCCCCAACCCCTCATATTGAGGCTAGTCATAGTGGGGAGTAACTTAGAATAGTAACATGCACATGTTACTAGTTTATATTATTATCTTCATAGTGGGTAGTGACATAAGTGTGATAATATATACATCTCCATTTATTACTTTGTATACTCATTTTGCATTGGGAAGCGCTATGTGATGGTAACATATTATGTTAGACTAGTCACAATGAGTAGTAACTTAGACTAGTAACATGCATGTGTTACTAGTCTATATTACTACCTCTATAGTGGGGAGTAACATATGTGTGGTGTCATGCAACACTTCATTTATTAGGCTGTAGACTCATCTTGTCTTGGTATGTGTGATGTTACAGTAACTAGCTATATTATCACATGCCTCTTTTTTCTCATTAATTACTCGCCACATCATCTGTTTTGCCTATGCGTGATGTTACCACCTATGTTACTCCAACTGTGGGTAGTCTTACTCTATTTGCCTCTCTCCTTATTAATTACTTGACATATCATCTTCTTTGTTTATGTGGCATGTATGTTACTATCTATGTTACTCCCACTATGACTAGCCTGACATACAATCCTCACGCACTCCCTGCTCATGGGTAACCAACAAACATGTAGGCTATTTAAAACAAATTTTTGATAATAGTATATGAACTTATTTAAAATGATAAAGTAGTATATATACTACAACATGATAGTAGGTAAGACGTGAGTGTAACAACACCAAATGGTAGGATGCAGCAAGTTTAAAATTGAAGTTATAGGTTTGTCCAAAGTCAATCTTTTTTAAGTTTGACCGACTCTATACAAAAAAAATGATACACCACTGTTCAAAAAATCAGTCGATTCAGTGATTTCTCGTCTGATTTATCGTTAATCGGTGAGCGACCGATAAGATTATGCCATATAATTGAGAACCACATTTTGGAGCTTGGCCTCCATGGATGCCCTTTTTATTTTTATTTTACATTCATACTTTTTGGTTTCATAAATTTCTGATAAAAATTGTACAAGTATATAAGGATGTGATGTGTATGTGTGTAAAATTTGAGGATGAAATACCTTAAGATGCGATATGTGCAAAAAGAACAAACTCATGGACTTTTTGAATGAATAGTATCATGTGTTGAGATGTCATAGATTTGTCTTTTTGCACACCTCTCATTTCAATCTATTTCGTCCTAAAAATTTACACACATATGTGTTATTCCTACATCTCGGTCTGTATTATTTTTAGAATTTTTTGAAATGTAAAAATATGAAATTCTTGGAATTTTGAAATTTTCAAAATTTGGCCTCCATGGAGGCCGAGCTCCAAAAGCAATTTTCACATATCGTCATCATTTATTGTTTGGACTGATTATCGCTCTGACAAGCAATTTATCAGGAATATACCGATAAATCGGGACTATTTCTAGCACTATGTGTGCAAGAACTATGTTTATTTATATTTTATGGACCTTGTTATGTAATATGTATGGTTGTCCTGTTTTATTTGTCATGTACAACGATTCAAAGGCAAGGAATCAAGATAACACTTCTGTCCAATATTTATTTCTGTTGAACATATCATATTGTAGTGTGGGAAACCTGAGATTTGTAACAAAAAATTTGGCCATTAATAGTCAACCGATAAAATCGATAAATCATCCGATTTTTGATTAATCTCTAATCCCCAGCCAACCGAGACGCAGCGATAACTAATATCCTCAACATTTAACAATCTACAATACCAAATACGCATAGTACAAAAGCTATTTCATAAATAATTTCTTGATATTAATTTATAGTCTAGATGTGAATAAAAAAATTCTATAGACTTGGCATGACATAAACAAGTTTGACTTGTTGCGACAAAATTATTTTAAAACAGAGTTAGTAGGTACCACCTTTGTCCTGATTTATTATTTATCCCCTTCGTATTTTGTGCTAAATATTGACCTTAGATTTAACTAACAAAATGTTAATGCATGTGATAAAAAATAATATCATTGAAAACAATGTCCAAATATGAATTCAGCAATATATTTTTTGTGACATGCATTAATTTTTTTAGTTAAATCTATTATCAAAGTTTAGCAGAAAAGTAAAGGGACCAATAAACCAGAGAGCTCTTTTACGGTACCCCAAAATTAATATGAACCATCTATTTCTTCTGATCCAATGACCATCCATGATTTGGCACTCCACCAGTAGTCCCACGGAGTACTAACTCAAAAAGTCACGGAGTACCTTGATCCAAGGGGCAAAACCGTAATCATAACAGACCTTCTTTTTTACTCTGTTCTTTTTTTGTCCCGCTGGTAACCTCCGAGTATTCAGCGTCTGAAAAAGTCATTCCTTTTTACCAAACCCTATACTATTCATGGCAGCCGGAGCTTGGATTGCCGGCCACCACCACGGCACCACCACCCTGGGTTTGGGTGAAGCCTGTACAAGCTAGTCTCGCGACTTGCATGCCGTCCCGAGGCAGCTTCCGCACGTTCATGGTCGTGAGGAACCGCGGATGAGCCTGAAAAAGACACACCCACGTCCATGGCGGCTTGTTGACTAGAGGAAATTTAAGTTGGATGGACGAATGAATTAGTAGAAAAAAATGTGTCGCCTCCTATTTTATCACAGCCATACTCGTTCTACAAACTGAGAGCGATGAACTGGCGACGAATCTGCTGCTCCTTTGTTTCCTCTGTACTCGACGTTTTCCTGATCCAGACGTCAGCGCGTGGTACATCAATCTCAAGCACGCGGCGACCCGAGCAGCGGAGCTGAGCGATCGGTGCAGGAGGGCAGAGCAGCGTGCGATGGAGAAGTGGATTGGGCTGAAGGCGGCGCTGCCACTCCACCGGGATGCGCCGAACATTCAGGAGATCTTTCTTCTTCTGGTAGCTGAATGATCGGGATGGTGGCCTCCGGGTTGATGATGAAAAAGAAAACAAATTACCCTTAAAAAATGACTAAGCTGCCCTCCACCAGGGACGGTCAGATATGCTTGGTACTCTGGTGTGTGATTTTGGAGTACCAGGGTACTGTAAAAGAGCTCTAAACCAGAACCGAGGTACTAGCAAGTAGGAATGCGCGCTAAATGAAGTTCAACAATATATAAGCATGTTAATTGGCGTGCCTGCCTACGTTCTTCGTGCGTACCATGACACCGTAGGCAAAGCCATGACATCGTATGTCCAAATATGAATTCAACAATATATAAGCATGTTATAATTGGCGTGCCTGCGAGCGTGCGTCGGTGCGTACCATGACACCGTAGGCGAAGCCCTCGATGACGTTTATAGCGACGTTGACTGCGCCGAGCTCGACCTCCCCGATGTGGCCGACGAAGCCGATGGTGACGAAGCCGATGGAGAACTGGAACACGGTGGTGAGGATCGCCGGGAGCGCGATGTGCCACAGCACCTTTGACTCCTGCCAGGTCTTGCTGCCCATCTCAACGATCTCCGCGCGCGCGGCCGGCGCCGACCGTATATATGAAGTAGCTAATCCAAATCTACCTGTCGAACTCTCTTGCAACTCATTCTGTACTGTATATATGAACCCCCGGGCGATATATGTCAAGTGTGTTTCTAGTTAACTAGCTAAAGCTAATGAAGCTAGCTAGCTCTAGCTTGCTGTTTCTCTATAGGCTTCTGATGCTACAAAGCCTGGTCGTAGCTAGCGAGCACACCTATATATGTAGTAGCACTCGTTGGCTGTTGATGCATCGTTGTCGGGTAAAGCTTGTTGGGTGAAGTTGGGCCTCGTAAACAGCTCTCCTTAGCCAGGTCGTGCCCGGGGAGGGGTTACAGGCTAGGTCACTGGATGCGGCAGGTCGAGTAGGTAGGTGGGATTGAAACCCCTCAAAAAAAGAAAAGAAGAAGAGGGTAGTAGGTGGGATTGAAAGCACGACGGAAGTCGTCTCGCTTGGCGCCAACCAGTGTTGTGGAGTTCCTCTGATTTCAGAGGTTTCCATCATGTCCAGAGAATTTATCATTGATCGGCCAGAAGCGAGCAGTTTTCATATTAGTTTACTTTTTCAATCGGTGGTGTGGTGATAGCCGGTAGCATATGCTTTTTTGCTTTCATACTATTCTTGTACATATTTTTGTCTTCTATAACAACTAGTTGAATGCTCGTGTGATGCTACGGAGTAACAAAAAAACATAATGATTAAATATATGCTCTTATTCAGAACTAGAACGACAGTATGTTATTTCTATTCACCCCCTCCTTCCACCCACCTTTATTCTCACAACCATGTCTTAGCCCTCTTTCCAAATTCTTGTACTTGTACCGGTTATATAATTTTTTCTTGAGCCATGGGTGGCGACAGTCTGTTAGGTAACTCGAGCCATCTTACCTACGACTTATTAGTATGTGTCCACATACAATGCATGTCTCTGACAACACATATTAATTAAGGATTTAGACAAACTACCAGCCACAACAGTTATTTTTCTAATTCAACGTGTAACTTTCTTGGAAATTTGATGTGAACTGCACAATTCATTTTTCCTAATTGATACAAATAATTTGAATGCTCGCATCTCATGAATCAACATGCCTCACATAATGTGGTCACCAACCATATGTGGTCACCAACCCTATAATCTCTTATCTAAGTGCATGTGTTTCTCAATGTATGTGGTACCAAATATATAATCATTTGAAATTCATACCCATTACAATATATTACAATCAAAATTAGAAATATCCTTCTTGGAATACGATATATACTAAAAAGGTCCTTGCCGTTCTCTGAAACAAAACAAATAAACTTTGGTTCAGTCCTAAAACAGACAGCACTTATAAGAAATAAGCTTAGCATGCTTTGGAACTCGCCGTACTCTGCAGAACAACAGATCTCCATCAAGAAATGCTCGGCTGAGCTGGATGAGTTACTGCTTCGGGAAGAACTCATGTGGAGACAGAGATCTAGAGCCACTTACTTGAGGGAAGGAGACCGGAATACCAAGTGGTTCCAGAGGAAAGCCACTTGAAGGAAGAAGAAAAACGACATAACCAAACTGAAAGACAACTCTGGTGTGTGGAAGGAAGGCGAGAAAGAGATCAAGGAGATGGCAAGAGGTTTTTTCCGAGCATTGTATGAAAAAGAAGATGAGGTTTTCCCACATGAAATCTTGGACCATATTGAGAAGAAAATCACGGATGATGTTAACACGGAACTACTAAACCGTTTTCTGCGAAGGAGGTTAGTGATGCTTTGTTCCAAATTGGCCCGCTCAAAGCCCCGGGTGCTGATGGATTCCCAGCTCGCTTCTTTCAGAGAAATTGGGAGGTGTTGAGGGACGACATTGTGAAAGGGGTTCTGGTTTCTTTGACACTGGAGTTCTCCCGGATGGCCTGAATGATACGGTAATAGTTTTAATCCCGAAAAGCAAGGACCCTCAGACCCTCAAAGACTACCGGCCAATCAGCCTGTACAACGTCCTCTACAAAGTAATCTCCAAGTGCCTGGTTAATCGGTTGCGGCCTCATTTAGATGGAATCATCTCTGAGACACAAAGTGCTTTCGTCCCGGGAAGATTGATCACGGACAATGCTGCCATTGCCTTTGAGTGTTTTCACAAGATCCAACACAGCAAGCATCCGTAGAACACTCATTGCGCGTACAAGCTTGACCTAGCTAAGGCCTATGATAGGGTGGATTGGGAGTTCCTAGAAGGCGTGCTACTGAAAACGGGATTCAGTCAAAAGTGGACAGGTTGGCTAATGCAATGCGTTAGGTCGGTCAGATACTCGGTGCGTTGCAATGGAGAGTTGCTTGAACCGTTTGTCACATCTCGAGGTTTGCGTCAGGGAGATCCACTTAGCCCTTATCTCTTCCTGTTTATCGCGGATGGGTTGGTTAAGCTCATCAATCTGGAAATCTCACAAGGCAATTTGTCACCGCTTAAAATAGCAAGAAGCAGCCCCGGGATCTCTAACCTGCTCTTTACAGACGACAGCTTACTCTTTTTTAAAGCAACGCCCGAGCAAGCCCTTACCGTGAAAAGAATCCTCTCATCCTTCCAGAGGGCCACCGGACAGTTGCTCAGCGAGAGTAAGTGTTCGATTCTTTTCAGCGAGGTGTGCCCCTTGAGTACAAGAGAGGACATAAAAGCAATTCTGGGGGTGGTATCCACGGATTTTGAAGGGAAGTACCTAGGTCTTCCGACACCGGAGGGTAGAATGAAGGACGAGTGCTTCCAGCCCATCATGGACAGGCTCAAGAAGAGGTGTACAGATTGGTCGGAGAAAACCATGTCATATGCGGCCAAAGATGTCCAAGTGAAGTCAATTGTACAAGCACTGCCATGCTACACTACGGGAGTGTTTCTCCTCTCGATGGGTTTCTGTGAGAAGTACGAGAAGATGATCTGGGATTTCTGGTGGGGGGATGAAACGGGCCGCCGCAAAGTTCACTGGATGTCATGGGAGCGTATGACGAGGCCAAAGAGAGCGGGTGGTATTGGTTTTAGAGACATGCACCTATTCAATTTAGCCCTTCTTGCCAAACAAGGGTGGAGGCTGATTCAGAACCCGGAGAGTCTATGTGCCCGGGTGCTCAAGTCTAAATATTACCCAAACGGCAACCTGTTGAACACCGTCTTTGCGTCGGATGCGTCGCCTGTGTGGAGAGGTATTGAAGCAGGGCTGGAGTTGCTGAAAAAGGGCGTCATCTGGAGAGTGGGCAATGGAAGAGATATTCAGATCCAACGGGACCAGTGGTTACCAAGGAAAGAGGGTCTGATGACCGCGGCATTCATAAGAAGATCACGTCTTCGGTGGGTGAACCAACTCATGCTCCCAGATATGAAGGAATGGAATGTTCCACTTATCAAACAAATTTTCTACCCTTTTGATGCTGATGATATATGTAGAATCCCAATCCCTAGATCGGATGTGAGGGACTGCATTGCCTGGCACCCTGAGAAGAATGGGATATTCACATTGAGGAGCGCTTATAAGTTGGCGGCGGCGGCAAAGAATAACGCGGCTTTGGAGGCCTCGAGCTCGACAAACAATTCGGAGGACCGTAGCATATGGGATTTGATTTGGAAAGCTGAGGTTCCCCCGAAGGTGAGAATCTTCGGTTGGAGGGTTGCAACCAACACTTTGGCCACGAAAAGGAACAAGTTCAGGCGTACGATCACGTTCGATGCGACGTGCGATATATGCGGCTGTGGGGATGAGGATGAACACCACGCAGTGGTGGGATGCACCAAGAGTAGGGCACTCAGGCACAAAATGAGGGAGGAGTGGGATATCCCATCGGAAAAGCATTTCCAGAATACTGGCGAAGATTGGCTACAGATCCTACTGAGCTCCGTTCCAAAAGATGTTCGCGTAAAAATCTTGTTGCTGCTATGGAGATGCTGGCACCTCCGTGAAAATTGCATACATGGGGATGGAAAGGAGCCGGTTTTAGTATCCGCCGCCTATCTGTCGAAGATGCATGACGAATGGAAGAACGTGGGTGTAGCCGGACAGGTGCTGGCCGGAAAGGACTCTGGGTTTCAGACAAAATCATGCCCAAGTACCCATACAACTCAAAGATATCAGTGGACTACACCACCGAGAGGCATAGCAAAACTGAACACCGATGCCTCTTTTCTCCCAAACACCAATCAGTGTTGGGGAGGCGCCGTCGCTCGAGATCACAAAGGACATGTCTACCTGTCGGTTGGAAGAGAGTTGGGCGAAGCTAATGACGCTCTATAGGCGGAGGGGAAGGCGATCTTGATGGGTTTGCAAGCATTGGCACCTCGCTATAATGGGAACATTCTGATAGAGACTGACTGCAAATCTCTAGCGGATGATCTCCAAGGAAACGGCCAAGTCAGGTCAGCAAGTTATGGATTGATTATGGACATCAGATCACTGCTTGGAGGTTTTCAGAGCAAGCAGATCACTCATGTTGATCGTCAGCGGAACTCCCTTGCACATGAGCTGGCAGCAGAAGCTAGAAGATCTGGGGACTTTTTTCTGATTGCTGATGTCCCTAATGGGTTGCGTAACTTGATGTTCCCTGAATGTAACCCCCTACTGGAGTAAGCTTGTTTACTCTAGTCCTCAAAAAAAAAACTACATAGCATCCTAGCTAGTGAGAACGTTCACTAAAACAAATTGACCTGTCCAAAAATGGTTTATGCAAAGTTAGTAAACAATATTAACCTAGCTAGTTCACTTAGTTAACCTAAGGAACTAAATTCACCTAAGTTAATTAACCTAGAGGGAGGAGGAGGGAGGAGGGAGGAGGAGTACCTCTCGGTGGAGGACGGCAGGCCCGGGGGGCGGCCGACGGGGGAGGAGGGCCGGCGCGAGGGAGGGTGGCCGGCGGGGGAGGAGAGTCGGCGCGGGCAAGGGCGGTTGGCGGGAGAAGACCGGCGCGGGGGACGGAGCGCAGAGGAGGCGCGCGAGTGAGAGTTTGTGAGGGGGAGAGTGGG